ATCAGGCTGATCCTCTGCCCTCAGTACTTGCATCTCTAGCACTGGGGACTGGTTCTAGTGGTAGCGCTCCACTTCCAACACAGCTCCCAGCTAATGGCTTCAGAAGGGAGCAGAGGATGGCCCAGAGCCCCAGGCCCCTGCACCCATGTGGGATACCTTGAAGGAACTCCAAGCTCTCACTGTTTTAGCTGTGACTGTTGCAGGCATTTAGGGAGTGATCTGTTGATCCTTCTCTTTCCCTGTGACTTTGACTTTCAAGTAGAAATAAATAAATCTTTTTTTAAAAAAGCAAATATCTCAGTTGTTAAATTTCCCATCTGATTAGTGATGGAATTCCATTTAATCTCTTATCAGGGATTAAAGAAGTTCATGTAGTCTAAATAACCCAGCAGCTGTTTCCACTTTGATTCACGGAGCTGGTTGGTCCTCCTGCTGTCTTACACATCCTCTGGCTCTGCATGCATAAGTCCACAAATGTGCTTCAGTTCCCAAAGGAATTGTTCTTCCAAGGGCTTGAGATCTTTAAAAAAGACTCTCCTGTTTTGTTAAAAATACATAATTGCTGTGTCTCCTGAGACGTTTTCAGAGTGTGTCCCTAGAGAAGGAATTCCAGCTGATGGCCTAGTGCAGGGCAGAGGCCCGTAGACAGACAGTCTGGCTCCAATTTATGCTCTGTGCTAACATGGCTAATAGGCATTAGTATTTTGATTTAGAGAAATGCTGTGGTCGATTCTGAATGGTTCTACACTGGTAACATCTGACTTAAAATCACACTTTTATAGGCCAAGAGCTATTTTAATTTTCTTCATCTTCCTTTTTTCTCCCATACTTTCCCTCTCTCATGTTCTCTACCCCCTGCCCCCAGACCTCCCTCTTCAGTGAAATGTCTTAGGAAAAGTTCCAAGTTTTGGTACAGTAGGACAGAGGATAAACTGGCAGAGGTTCAGTTTGTCCCATATTAAGGTCTGTTGCAGACCCTCTGGAACTATTGGAACTGTTATATATATCAGACCTTCCACAGAACCCTGTTAGCATCCCATGCTCACATTTTTTGCCCCAATCCAAGTTTTTTGCAATCACTGCATTTTGACTCTAAGCTCAACATTCAGTTAAACTGGGGGGGGGGCGGAAGGAGGGGGCGAAGGGGGGCGGAGGAGGGAGGGGTCTTGCAACTCTCTTAATAAATAAGGTACCCAAATTCTAGAGACATCTGATGAAAAGGAAAAAACATCTCTGTTTAAAACTATAAAGTTTGGTACAGAAGTGTGTGTCACTCTCAAATACCTGACAAAATAGCTGACAGGCCATGCAGCTCCTGCACAGGAGTGTTGAGTAAGGCAGAGATACCCAGTATTACACGCACCAAACACCCAGGCATCTTTCTTCAAATCTTAGGTCTGTGGGTCTTATGCTAGAAAAATGCAGCACTGTAATCGTCTTACTTAGAATTAGTTGTCCCAGTGACTTAGGAAGCTGGAAAAATATAAAAAGTAAAATTGGATATTTGAAATTCAGTCCTCTCCAGACATTCTCTTAGAAATAAGATCACCACCTCTTACAGGCCTGGTTTTCTTTGGCTTGTGACATGACTCTCCCCGGCCCATCTGTGCCAAGCCTTTGGCCCGGCTGACGAAACACCTCCCTTTCAACAGGCCTTGCTCTCTGGAAACCTTAGTAAAATGCAGCTAGTTCACACTCCGGCAAACCTCAAACCTAGACTTTCCCAGTTAACAAATGATACTTTGCCAAAATGCTTACTAAGTCCTGGCTCTAGGAGAGTGTGTAATGTGGAATCACCACAGCTTGAAAAACAAATGAACAGCCCTCCCAGTGCCATGGGGTTGCATTCCGATGGAGTGCTCAAATACAGTTTCCATCATACCACATGCAAGGCTTGCCTGCTAGAGGTTTCTTGAATTGTTGTTTTTGCTGTTGTTGTTTAAATATATTTACTTGCATGCTTATCAGGTGTGCAAGATGCGTTTTTCATGGATTTCCCTTTCACTGTTTGCAAGCAGAGAAAATTGGATATTAAAAAGCACGGTCTCGATGAAGTAGCAATCAAAGAGGAGCAGCTTTGTCCTATCCCTGTAAATCTGATCTGCAATGCTAAGAATGTGGGGAATGAGCTTCAAAACTGAATAATTTCATTTAAAGCTTAAAAGGAAAACTTGGCCAATGCTAAGACGAAGGTTTAACCAACCTGGTCTGCAGAAGGAAAATCTTTTCAATAATACATTTCTGAACCCCAGAAAACACACACACACACACACACACACACACACACACACACACACACACACACATCTGTAAGGCAGTAGTCATCAAAAACAACAGAAGAGTGTGGGGCTCAGTTTTATTGTCTTGCATCAGTGAACATTCCTCAAAAGCAGAGAGCGTCACTAATGGAATTATATGTTTTCATGCTGTGATTATATTTGATTTTTCCTGATCTTGATACAGACATTTTGTTCACGGTTCCATGACTAGGCAGAATATTTACTAGCTTTCTCTGTTTTCTGTCTACCCAGTCCCTACCCACCACCGGAAAAGAAAAAGAGACTATCCAGAGGAATTTATTGATAGAAAAAAAAAGTTAACATATAGAAGGCCAGTGCTGTGGCATAGTGGTTTAAGCTACCGTTTGTGACATTAGCATCTCCTACTGGAGCGCGGCTTGAGATCTGGTTTCTCTACTCTGATTCAGGTCTCTACAAGTACTTGGACCCCTGCGACCCATGTTAGCGATTGGGATGGAGTTGCTGGTTCCTAGATTTGATCCAGCTCTGATTGTTGTAACCATTTAGAAAATGAGCCAGCGGAAGGAACACCCATCATTCTCTGTCTCTCCCCAACTTCCCTTCTCTCTGTTGCTCTTTCAAATAAAATCTGTCTGTATCAAAAACTTGATTCAGCCTTCAGAGATTTTTCATTCAACAAATACAAAATGATCAGTAAAAAAAAAAAAGAACCTTAAATTTGAAAGAAACAGAAGAAAGAAATGCTTTTAAATTCTGAAATTCCATGATACACATAATGGGAATTTAATATTTTTGATTTTTAGTGCATGTTTATTGGATAAATCATAATTTAGTTTATCTTTGTATCCATTACCCCAAATTGTCCTGTCACTGCAGTAGAGAAGATTGGTCAGCAGAGTCCAGTTGACTGCAGAACACAGTACCAGAAAACCACCCAGTATGTGCATAACCAACATACATTTTTAACACATGAAATGTTCTAGCTATTGCATCCATGATGCCTCTCAGGAGGCCAGGCAAACAGAGAGTTATATTGAAATTTGACGTGGTGTTATTATTGTGAATCCATTTTCTCTTACATCAAATATCAGTTGAGTTCTAAAACTCTCAATGACTGAATACCACTCGATTTCTCTTTGGGCATGTATGTCCTGTTCTCTAGATTTTCATGGCAACAGAGTACAGGCTGCCACTTCAAATATGTTTATACTCCAGGGTTTCCTCTTGAAGCATTATGGAAGGAAATGCAGCAGTAAAGTAAGTTGGTGCAGTATAGATGCGGAATGAGAAAGGGCTTCTATCTGCAGATGGAATCAGCTCTCAGATGTAGGTGAAGTCTCCTTGGCCTGACCTCATTGTGTGTTTTTATCATACATGGAAGAAAAGTTACCATTACATTTTCTCAAGTTCAAACACATTTCTTGAAATGCCATTTATTAGAATGTTGAAAGCACAATTTCAGTTCTCTCCTCTCAAATCCCTCCAGTTTGGCTCCTGGCCCAGCCACTCAACCCAAATCACACTCTGAGGTCTTCCAAAACAACTTCTCAGCCAAAACCAATAGTATCATTCTGGGCTTGTCAGCTTTATTCACAAGCATATTCTTTTCATTTCTAACATCCATCTGGTCTCAAATTCTGAGGATTTATCCATTCCAAGATTTTGCTTTTCCTTATCTCCTGAGTCACACCTGTAGCAACTCTTCTTTAAAGATCATTCCAACTTTGGTCATTTTAAGCACAATATTTTTGAAAAAAAAAAAATGACTTCTCTATTCGAATCTCTGAAGTCCCCTTACTTTTCGTGTTGTATTTCTTGATGCCAGGCCTTCAGCTGCAGTTAATCATGGTAATAGAATAGCTCTGGTCTTGATTCTTAGCTTTTTGCTGCTGTTTAATAGCTTTGTTTCTGTAAACAAAAATTAAGTCACGTTGAGTCCTTCTAAACCCTTTTATTATCATCACACTTCTCAAAACATATGTTTTCTGGATGATACAGACCGAGTTAATATTTTTCAGTTATGCTCCACCCATGCTTTTCAACCTTTGTCAGTATGAGAATATTTCTAGAAGTCCATGGAAATTGGAATCAAATGTTACATTTATTGCAGTGCAAAAGTTTCAAATTTTATGCACGGCACTATCACAGTGTTTTGTTCCCAGGGTTTTTTTTTTAAGACCTCATGTAGATTAGGCCAAATTATACATACATATCTGTGTATGGAGTCCTACTACCCCATAAATCAAATCAGGCAGTGGTTGTACAAATCCTCTTCCAGCTCTTACACCACCCAAGGGAACATCCCATGCTTGGGACCTACACACATGCATTCAGCTATTTATCTCCATTTAGTAATTCTGATGGACACCAATCATAAGAAAGGGACTTTTCTTCTTAGAAAGTGTGCTAAGTTCTCCAGTTTCCTATCTTTCATGAATGTATGTGACTGTGCCATATGAACCGGCGGTCTTCTCTCTTGGGAATAAGGCTTTGTGTAAAAATGGATCCTGCTCGTTACAAGTGTTTGAATCCCATAGAGTCAGAGGTATATTTGCTAATTCAGTGTATCTCAACTCTGTGGGAAGACATGCTTCTGGAAAGATCAGGAAATATTTTCAATGCTGTGTTAAAATCCATAATCATCATCTTCTACTTTTCACAACAATACGTACTTCAAATGCCTTTAATAATATCCACAACTGAGGAAATATTACATCACCTGTGCATTTTTGCTTTCAGGATCCTCCAATGGCTGTAACCCTTGGACTCCGCATGGAGGAAATGATTTTTAATCTTGCTGATACACATTTGTTTTTTAATGACTTAGAGGTAAGAATTATATAGGGTAAGAATACTTACATTCATATGTAAGACTTTTTAATGGTTTTTGTATATAAGCAGATCACCTCAAAAAAATAAAAAGAAATATAGCTCCCAAAGTCCTTAAACTTCCTGTGAAAAGGTTGTATTTACAACTACAAACGGGAAGCTAAACCATGCCCCTCTGCAATAGATCTGTACCAGCAGATATTTAGAACAAACTGCAATAGAGAGCATGGAACTTACTGTTCACTCCTGTCCGTCAGTCCTATGTCCCAGTCACAACTCAGGTTGTGCCTTGGGAGTTAGAATTAGCTTTTCCAGATTACTAGCCACCAGGTGGCTATTTAAGTTATTCTGTAGACAATATTTACCAGTAACAGTACTATTCATTGTGATAGCATGAATAAATGTTGCAGACAGTACGGCTCTTTAAGCAGCATTGTCATTCCTCACTTCCTTCCTCTGGATGAACTAATCCTAGGACTTTTTATGTAACACATCTGATGGGTTTGAATGTATTAATTTCCTCTTACATTTTTTTAAAAAAAAATTCCAACATTAATTGGTAATAGAGATCGTAAATGGAAACCAAGAAGACATATAATTAGCTAAGTGGAAACTATTCTCAGAGCCTGAACATAAGTACCAATAGTTATTAACTTGCGGGCTAATGACCCGAGTTATTAGACAAGCAGACACTAGAATTTGAAGTAACTAAAGAACTCAGCTCCTGGATAAGCAAAACTATTCTGAACTAGAAAGATCTCTTTCTTTTGAAATTATATTTTTAAATTGATTTAAAAATGAAATGATTTGTCTGTGATTTATGGAACAAGTAGAGAGTAAAATAATTATTATGAAATTCGATCTTGTTCTTGGCATTTTATGTTGGACCTTAAACAATGCTTGGGATTTAATATATTTATGCATTACTGGGGCAAAAACTGTGAAGTTCACTACATAAAAACGATGTCCAGGCTTCCCTGCTGGCTAAGTGATAGCACTGGGATTACCTGGCTCCAGCCTCTTCAACCCAAAAGTGAAGGGAAAAAAAGTCAAGTTACTGAGTGACCTAAGTAAGTTTTTAAAATTGACAAAATCTCTTAAATATTTTAGTCATAGCTGAAACACGAGAGTAAGCATGAACAGTTGGTGAACAATTCAGGATGTCTTACAGATCCGTGTGCTGACAGTACGCCATGCGGCAGCGTTCTGTTGCTGCTGTCTGTGCAATAAGTCCATGCCTTTTTACTGGATAATACAATCAATGTCAATTTAAACAAAGTTCTAGTTTTTCCTTTCATGGAATATTTGAAATATCAGGTTTCCTAGACAATTTTTCCTAGACAATGAAAATAGTCACCTCTCTAAAACATGATTTAAACCAATCCTACTACTTTTTATTGTTCAATGTACAGAATGAATTTATATATACCTGTTAATCAAAAACACATTTTAGCCTGTTTGGAACTTGAATTGTTTTATTCATAGTGGTAACATTTTAGATTCATTTTTCTATTTGTTGACATGGGTAAACCTCCGTCCAGAGATGTGTCTAAAAGTCTTTTCAGGAACAAAGAGAAAAGTAACTTTATGTGACTGTATCTAGATTTTATTGTGTTTATTTTATCTGATTGAATTTTTACTAAAATAAATTAAATAATGTACTGTTAGCATTTTATTGGCATGTTTGAAGCCAGATGGAATAAATTTACTATTAAAAACACTAAAGTGAGAAGCTGAAAATAGCATTTAATGAATTTATAAATACCTTTAGCAAGTTTAAAATCAATATTGGTTTATCAAAAACATGATCATGATTGGTGCTCTAAGACTTGTTGTTTTGGATTAGATAATACAATGAATGTCCATTTAAACTCGGAGCAGCATCTGGGGCAGAAATGCTACCTGAAAAAGTATTGTGTTGATTTTCTCCTCTCTGATTGTAGCCTTTTAGTTGGGCTTTATAATGTGATAACATGGCATTTAACTCAAACCCTCAAACATGACTATTCAACAAAGTAAGTCAATGAAATAACATACAGTGCCTACATCACACCGACTGGACCCTCAGATACGCACACCCGGATGAAGCATGCAAGGAAGCTCAAGGCTTTAGCACTGTGGAAGGCTGTTTTGGAGCCTAACAGTTAAGATGGCGGGTAGACCGCTGATTGGTCAGAGTGCCTGGGTTTGCTGTCTCAGGCTGGTTCCTGCCGATGCAGATGCTGGGCCCCTGCCATCCAAACGGGTGGTCGGGATGTGTTTGTCAGCTCAGAGCTGTGGCTTGATCCAGCGCAGCCATAGTGGTCATCTGGGAAGGGAAACGAGTGGACGGAAGGACTTTGTCCATCTGTCTCTTTCACTATCTCCATATTTTAAATAACTATATACATATTTCTAGATTATTTATTTAATTGCAACAAATAGGCACTCATTAATGAAATCCGTATCACAATGTTCAAGATCCTTCAGTGTAGTTCCCTGCATCTTGTCTGTGTGCAACTGACTTGGAAAAATCAGCTTTATTCTCACAGTTTTTCACTCGGATAAAGCTCTTATTGCTACCGATTATCAGCTGAAATGAAGTCTTTTTCTGCTGCTGAGAAAAAAATTGCTTAATAGAGTGTCTCCATCACTAGCTTATGATGTTTTTTTTCTCCTTGTATGCTTAATCTCCTGTTTTTTAAACCTAAAAGTCTCATTTGAGGCCGAACTCCTTTAGCAGACACTGCAGCAGCTGCTTCCCACGTTATTTCTTAACAGATAGCAGACACTTCGCTGCCTCCTGGCCAGCTGCAGAGAAGGCAAACGTTGCTCCTGCTAAGAGAATGTTCTGTTTGAATAACGTGTTATTTCAGTTAGAATAACTTCCAGGGAAAAAGGCACAAGGGACTTTGGGGTCACAAAAGTGAGAAAAGAGTGGTGTGGGGAATAACCGATAAATATCAGTGACAACGTCGTGGTCACCTTGTAAGACAAAATTAAAGCATTTCAGATTTGTATCAGAATGATTTCAAATACTTGAGATGTTCTACCAAAATGTGTTCATGCCGAAGCACGACGGACAATGTTTTTAGTATTTCAGGTTTTGCTCAGATGATTCTTGCAAAGGTCTCAGAGTAAAAACTAAAAGAAAAATAATTATTTAGCTTTTCCTAAAAATGTAAGTAATTGAAGTTCAAGTTTCTTTAACTGGATTTAGTCCTCAGGCGGGTGTCCAGAGTCAACAGGCATAGCTAACTAGGCATAAATTTAAAGAGAAGTTAGATTTGGAAAAACATCAAACATCACTTCAAATACACAGCTCGTGGTCCAGGATGTCTGATCTACTGTGGTCCTCAGGAGTGAAAAATAAATGTACAACTTATCTATGTACAAATTGGTCCTGTGCATTAATGTTCTCGATCAATTAGCATATGAAACTATGAAAGACAGTATAACATCTGATTCTCAGAGTTACAAGACTCCTCACCCTTTTCAATAGTATTAATTTACTGTGAAAGAGAGACGTGGAATATGTTTACATGAAGATTGCGCATGTCAGGTAATGGTGACTTTCCTATCATTTCCACTCCAGTAGGGCCTCAGTTTATACCTTCCCAAGAATGTTAATGTTTCTAAGAAATACTGCTACTATCTAAAACTACCTTTGTCCCTCTATGTTCAAGGGGTAATTTCCAGCTGTCTTCCAGCTGTGATATCTTCCATTGCTTTCTTTTAATAGCTGCTAGTGTTTGAATGGTGAGCACCGCACACACACTCACAATCAGAATGAACAAAGAAAGGGAAACGAAAGAAGCACAAAGGGCTCAGTCGTACTTATTTTGAGGCTATTTTAATTCAGTGCATCCATTCTAAATCATCATGCGTTTGCTATTCTGAAAATTGAATATTTTAAAAGATTTGTTTATTTTTATTGGAAAGTCAGATATACAGAGAGGAGGAGAGGAAGATCTTCCAAGTGGCCAATCCAAAGCCAGGAACCTGGAGCCTCTTCTGGGTCTCCCACGTAGGTGCAGGGTCCTAGGGCATTGCGCCATCCTCGACTGCTTTCCCAGGCCACAAGCAGGGAGCCAGATGGGAACTGGAGCAGCTGGGACATGAGCCAGTGCCCACATGGGATCCTAATACTTGTAAGGTGATGAGAGCTTTAGCCACTAGTTTACCACATTGGGTGCAGAACTGAGTATTTTAAATAACCGCAACCAGACTCCACCTTCAGCGCAAATACTATTTCACTGGATTTTTTCTCATTATTTAAGGTCTTATGAAAACTCTTAGAATAGCAAAAATAATTGAGTCCTTATCTAGAAGTTGTTATATAAGTCTGGGCCAATGCATTACCAATTTTCATGTGGATATATATGCTTACTTAGCAGTTATTTTCCATGGAATTTCTGGTATGTTTGAGATAGGTATAAATGTTCATTTTTCTTCTAGATTTCACAATTTAAAAACTTCAAAAAAGAAAATGTCCTGTGATTAGTTTCTTTCCTCGGTGAGAATAGATGGGATTCTTAAAAGTACACCAGCATGCTTCTTTCCTGCTAGATTTGGTCTAGCAAAGTGCAGGAAGTCGTGGAAGTCTCCCAGGACACCCTGGCCCAGACCCACTGCAATAATCAATCAATCAATAATAACATAAATAAATGAAATGATAGATAAGTAAGCAAATAATGGCAATGCTTAAGTCCGCACAGCAGATATTAGAGAAAAAGAATTCATATGATTTGAAAGATTCAAAAGAGAATTTATCAATTTAATTCTAAGATTAAAATAGTTTTTCTTTTAATTACTCCCCACTGTAATACATTTACAAACCCTTTTTTATGACGCGTTCATGGATTTAGTTTATTGCCTAGGAATGGCGCCAAGGCCCAGCATAAAGTGCCAATGGAGTGGAAAATGATGGGTAAATGCTGCCACCTACTGGCCTTCATCAGATCAACTGGAAGAAGGAAAAAACGGGATGATAAGCATTATTTGAAAAAAAAAAAGACTAACTGCTTCTAATATTTTCAACAGGAATGTGATCAAGTTCATATAGATGATGTTTCATCAGACGATAATGGACAAGACTTAAGGTAAGTTACGCCTTTCAGTATGCTGTTTCCTACAGAAATTCAGCTATGGAATTTTGCACATGTAATTATTTCTTTTATTTCTTTTTAATGTATTTTGGGTGTTGCAGTACCTACAGTTTTGCAACTGATGGCTTCCATGCAGCTGCAAGTAGTGCAAACCTTTGTTTGCCAACAGGTGTAAGAGGAGGAGTTGACTGGATGAGGAAGTTGGCTTTTCGTTACAGAAGAGTAAAAGAATTATATAACACCTACAAGAATAATGTCGGAGGTATGTGTGTATGGCTATGGCCTTTTCTTTTCATCAAACAAAGAATAGGGTGTAGGGAGACTTTAAGCTGTAGTTTCATGTTTGCCCTCATCCTCCTGTTCAAATACACGAGCAAAAGCCAGAATGTGAAGTTTCTGAGAACTGGTTGTGGGAAGAATTGACTGCAAAATGAAGCATTCTTTGTGAAACTTTGTGCCCAGTTGTATAGCTAAGATTTAGACAGGGAATTCTGTTCACAGCATGAGTCTGTGCACGGAACATTATCGAGAAAGTCAGGCAAAGGGACTGGATGAGGCAGTGGGAGGAAGAGCTTTCTAAAAACGAGATCCCAGAGTCATTAACAAGCATTCCTGCCCTGGAATCATAGCAGATACTAACGTGAACTGCAATTTCAAAGTTGTTCCACGAGGGTATTGAATCTTGTTAAAAATTACACTTTAGCTGGAACCATAACTTTGTCACGTAGAGTTTTAAGTGTGGTTATGGTGACTTTTACAAGTTCTGATACTCTTTGGCTAATATCCAGATGATTTTGTACACATCTGTATATGCTGTGGTGATACAGAAACCCGTGCCACCCCAACTATAGCCTTGAACGCGCTTCTGGACGCAGTAAAGCTTGGTGACCCCTGTCGGTACGGTCACCTTTACGGCAACAGGACTCCTCCCGTAGCTTGTGAGGTCATGGAAGGTTGGCCTCCTGAGCTTCAGGTTCTTTCCTCTTTTCATTTTTCATTTTTTTTAAAAGAAGGGTGACAGAGTAGCATAAAACAGAATGAAAAAAAGAAATGATTAAGACCTAAGTAGATGTGTACCTTCTGTAGATAGATGTATTCACATGTAATTCACATGCTGTAATAAATAAAAGGATCACGTATATCCCATAAATATATCATGTACACCCATGCACATTGCCATGAACATGGAATTATGTCCGATCACCTCTGAAACCCATAATGTATTCTCAGTTCTCAGCCGCTACTCACTGGCCGCAAGATAATGTAGGCAGAACTGAAGATAATCATGATGTCATAATAGCAGAGGGCTTAGACAGGGATGCCTTCAGGTCCCAGTAGGAAATTGGGCACAATGAATTGCTTACTTGCTCAGTATTCTAGGGGGAAAAGTTTCTAATGTGCCAGTTCACTCCAGTGCTCAGTACAGACACTTTTATAAGAATCAAATAAACACATTTTCTAGTTAAGAAGCCACTGAAGATAACACATTTAACCTTAAAATAAATATGCCTCTGTAAAATTGAAACTTTTGAAGACTTTTTTTTTAATTTATTTGAGAAGCAGATTTACAGAAATAAAGCAAGAGATGAGCCGAAGATCTTTCATCCACTGGTTTCCTCCCCAAAACTGAGACTGGGCCAGAATGAAGCCACATGCTGTGAGCTTCTTCCAGGTCTCCCATAAGAGGGACAGGGACCCAAGTGCTTGGGCCATCTTTCAATGCCTTCGCAGTGGCATCAGCAGGGAGCAGGATGCGAAGTGGAGCAGCTGGGTCCTGAACCAGCGCCCATGCGGGATGCTGCTGTCACTAGCAATGCTTGTATCCCTTTACTCTTATGCCACAATACCAGCCCCTGCGATTGATTTTTATCATTTAGGATATGCCATTATTCTCCACTGTTAGTGTATTATAAAACTATTTTGAAATTAACAAGGTTGCTATAAAAAATCTTATCCCTTAAATGTTTAAACCAGAACCTTAAGAGTTCATTTTTTAATCATACATGAATGCCTCTTTACTGGAATGAGGGTAGGGAGACTCGCTAGAAATGATAAATTTGGATTAAAAGTTGAAACTGTTGGAAATGTGTAGACAATAGCATGCCGGACTGTCTGTACCAGCAATGTCGGGGCACACTTAAATAAGAGACTGATGGAATCATGACTCCTTTTGAAGCACTATACTATTGCAGCAAGATGGGGAAAATCTGTCGGGGGAGTGGGAGTTTGGGGGGCAATCCCAAATAAACTAAAATTTTTTAAAAAATGTGCACTTCACTCACCTGTATAAGTGCTTCCAATATTTTGAAGTAAAATTTAAATGAAAGTATTTGTTTTCCATGGACTTAGATTATCTTTTGTTTAACAACAAAAGCAAGGGCTTAATCACTTTAAATGAACATTAACATGCCTACTTCGCTCATCTTTTCTGATCTTCTCGCCTTATACTAGTGCAGCTACTAGTGACTAACCAGTATTACTGGTAATATTAGAAATATTCTAATAGCTATGCATAATTCCAGTGTTACTTTTTAATTTAAAAAAATTAAAAATTTATTTGAGAAACCCATCTACTGGTTCAAATACCCAGAACAGCCAGGGGAAGAAGGAGGAAGTTGGAACTTACTCCAGGTCTCTCTCATGAGTGACAGGAATCCAGATACCTCAGCCATCACCTGCTGTCTTGCAGGATCTGCATGGGCAGGAGCTGGAGGTGGGAACTGAACCCAGGCACTCCCCCAGGAGACCCGGGTATCTGAACTCCTGGGCTAAGAGCCTGTTCTGTTGCTATTTCCAGGTAGATAAGATTGTGAAAAAAAAAAAGGAAACCACATATTTTCAGAGAGCCACAATAGTTGTGATGTCACCACATTGGGAGAGCTCCGTGGGTCCTTCCAGCCTGACCCATGGTTGCCTTGGATGCAGCTCAGGACTGAGGATTTTCCAGGCTCTTCAGGGCAGTGGTCTCCAGTGCGTCAGGTTCTCCATCCAATGAGGGCCAAGTCTGAGTGCACCTGCTGTCTTGCATCCTTAGTGTCTAGCCTAAAACCTCGTATCTAGAGGTGGTTTCACAAATACTCATCCCATGAGTGAATGAATGAATTATCAATTATTGCATAAAGGATTTATGTTGTTAAAAATCTCTGTTTCTTTCATTTATTTTAATGGCAGAGTTATATAGAGAAAGGGAGATTCATTACCTGAAAGGCAGCAACAGCCAGGCTGGGCCAGGCCAAAGCCAAGAGCCGCAGTGTCTTTAGGGTCTTCCCACTTCCTTGCTGAGATGAAAGGCCATGGGCCATCCCTTGCTGTTGATCAGGTGTATTGTTAGTGAGCTGGATAGGACTTGAACTGGCACCGATCGGGAGGGTCAGTGCCACAGGCAGCAGCTTTACCAGCTACGGCCCAACAGCAGCCTCTTCATTGCTAACGTAGACATTCAAAACTGATGTATTCTAGATGGAAGGGTCACTAAGCTGAATGTCCCTGAAAAATATTCCTCTGCTGATTCGGCCTTACTTTTTGGTGCCACAGGACTTCTGGGCCCCGCCAAGAGGGATGCATGGCTGCAGTTAAGGGCAGAGATTGAAGGTCTGACAGATTCCTGGCTAACGAATGCACTGAAGTCTCTTTCAATTATTAGTACTAGGTAAGTGCAAGGGTTTTCCTTTCCATGCTTATTATTTTGAAGGTGTACTTCTGTTAGCACCATATATATCAAGATGGTAATCCGGAGGCTAGGTTTAAGTTTGAAGAGACGTAACAGCTCAGAGTCCGCGAACTCTCAGTGTGTGTGTGTGTGAGAGAGAGAGAGAGAGAGGACAGGAAGAGGAATGGTGCTTCTCCAAATCATCAGATCATCTCTCTCCACCCATCCGTTCTCCTAACTCCTGATACTTCCCACAGAAAGCTCTCTCAATAATAAAACTGCACCGTTTATGCCAACAGTGAGTGCTTTAAGCATTGGGGAGCGCAGTAGAGAATGCACATCAGCCACATGGGTCAGAGAAGCAAGAGGAAGCTCTTGGGAAACGTGGTTTTTTTTTTTTTTTTCCTTTTTTTTTAACTGGAGAGTAAAATACTGTCTTGTTAAACAATGACAGGAATGTGTGTTACGCAGGAGGAAAACAGTATAAGAAAAGGAGGTGAGGAAAAAGAAACCAGGACTCCTTGCATAGTGCCAAGCTATGGAATTCATAAAAGTATGCATGTGTGTTACCGTTAGTGGTTTTCACTAAATGCCTGGATAGTTAAAAGAGGCAAATACTTTGTTGAGACGTAAACCAGAGCCTTTAGCAGAATCAAGTCACCTGTGACCTCAATTCTTTTTCAACGAATATAGTGCAGGTATATTAAAGATGTGGGAAAATATTAAGTGGTATTATTTATAACACTGAGAAATCAAAAGCCATCTAAGTCTCCAAAACTTACTATGATGAATTGAATAGAAATTTGCAACACCTGATATCTTGTTGGGAGATGGAGAGTAAAATAGATAATATGACATAAATGAGTGGGTGTGATATGAAAAAAGTTGACAGTAAAGTGGAATATAATAACTATGACCCTAATGGAAAAAAATAAACGTAAATGTAAAGAAACACCGGCAATAGATGCAGAAATAGAGATAAATCATAATAGAGGCTTTGGATTTTCTTCTTTACATTTGAAGGCTTTTTGCAATTTTTTTGTTATAAATATATGTCATTTATAAATAATATAACAATTCACATAAGGTGAGAGGTGAGACTTTGTATCAAAATCATGTTTCTACACTCAGAACAACTTGTGCTTTATTTAATACTTTTATAACATTTATTTGTGTATTACTTTGAATAGCATGTTGTTTTCACAAATTATAACTTTAGACATTTTGGTTTTAGTCATCGGCCAGTATTTAGAGATGTCTGTGTATTGATAGGCGATAACTCTCGACTGTTGAAAGAAACCACAAAGACAAATTTCGATTCACACTATTTGAACTTATCTGTTGTTGGATAATAGATTTCTGCTTTCTCTTCGTTTTAGGAGTAACTGTGTAAATGTCTTGGTGACAACAACCCAGCTGATCCCCGCTCTTGCAAAGGTTCTACTCTATAGCTTAGGAGGTGCTTTCCCCATCGAGAATATTTACAGTGCAACAAAAATAGGTAAGAAAGTGACTTAAATCCGTAAGGAATATGCTCTTATCCATGCAAGAATGGTTTTTCTTAAAATGAGTTTATTCTTGATTCCTTTTTTTTTTTTAATCAGTTGGGCTATTGGAATATATATCAGAGGCCTATAAGGGCCATGCAACGACATTCCTGCAACTCATTGTACGTGTGCATCTGTTCTGAGATCTGTTTGAGTGAAATTCTACACTCAGTATCTATGTAATTCTGACTCATTCTACATATTTTATAAAGCATGTGTTATTTCAATAACATACCGTAACACCAGCCATAGCAATTGCTGGTTTAGTTCATGTAGACTGTAGTGTTGTGCTCTTACATATATAGTAATTAAGGTCTAACGTTAAAGTGCTATTTTGACATTAGAGAGGAAACTCACATGGATTAAACTGGTGTGAAGCAAAAACTTCCAGAAAAATAAGGACTTCATAAATCAGAAAAACTTAATTTCAAGTCTGTGAGCTCCTGTGTGGCTAGAAATCCCATATTTCCAAAAACGTTTAACAGTCACCAGAAAAACAACATTATTTAGTAAGATGACATCTATGGAGCCATCTCTTGCTTTAAGTGCCATTTGCAGTCTGTAACTTCCAAGAAGAAGTTGAAAACACAGCCACCTCATATTCCGCCATCTTGAAAGAGTTAAAACTGCTCATGTAGTCCACTGTCTGTCAAGGAAATGCCAGGGAAAATAAATGAGTTGTGTAATGCGCCCTGAAGGTCAACAAACATAGGCTTTGGCACCTTGACAAGAGGAGTTCAAAATCCTAAAATCCCCCACCAAAAATAACCTGCCCTGGCCAGTGCGGAGGTCTGACGCTGTAGCAGAGGCAGGCCCCCATGGCAGCTGTTACAGGAGCACAGTTAACAAGAGCCAAGCTTTCACAAAGTAAATTCCATGTTGTCACAAGAACCCCAATTCAGAGCTGAGCTGCTAATACTAGACATGTTTTAGATAACTATGTATCTTTATGCTAGCAGGGTTTCTAAATACCCTGTGATTTTACTTTTAGACAAATTATTTTATAACAGAACATATGTTTCTTCTACAAAGTACCATATTTGTTCTGAGCCACGTTACTCCCCATATGCAAGGTGAGAAAAAACACTCCCCCCCCTTTAAGTTAATATTCTGTGATATTTTAAACTGTCAGCTTAACAGGAAAAGGGGGGCCACGAAAATTCTGGCAATAAAAATCAAACAATAATTCCATAACCATATTCTCCTAGTGTAATTGTGGGAAATCAGTGCATTTTACGTTACATGCTGTGACCAAATTGGATCACACTGTTAGTTTAATTAATCTAACCATAATAGCTCCGATTTACTTCAGCAAAGACAATGTTTGTCAAAGAAGAGGCACGTCTTAGTAGTTCCTTAGAGATGAACTTCCAGGGTTCCTTCGTAATATCTCCAAGTGACTGTATTGCTTAAAATAAGTTAGCCGAAAATAATTTTCGGAATTAAAGTGTTAAGCTGTCTGTGCAGTTGTTCTTATGCTCTTCTGGTGGAATAAATCATAATAACATTTTCTCTAGGTCAAGCACTTAACCTCACTGGTGTTTTTGGAGTGTGAGGCACATTTCTTTAATAATCCATCCTGAGACGGATGCTGTTCAAACATGTGTGCTGGTTTCATAAACCCGGATTTGTAAGCCAGTTTAAATGATGTTTGAGAGAAATTAACTTAACACTATATGAATCTTTAGGTTCGTGAATGCTGTGGCTGGAAGAATAAGCAGTGCATTATTTTTCAGGCAAGGAAAGCTGTTTTGAGCGTATAGTGTCCAGATTTGGCACTAACATAACTTATGTTGTGATTGGAGATGGCCGGGATGAGGAGCATGCCGCTAACCAGGTAACTTCACTCTGAACTTTTATCTCATTTATCTTCCAGGAAAAGAAAGTTGCTTTGAACGAATAATGCAAAGGTTTGGCAGAAAAGTAGTATATGTTGTAATTGGGGATGGTGTAGAAGAAGAACAGGCAGCAAAAAAGGTAACCTGTCTCGAACAATGTTGGTGTGATACTTTTAATGCAAGCCTTCTTGTTTGCATTCCAGTAGTAGTTTGGCCCAGCATCAGCTTTACAAATGATTTAGATTTATAGATGCGAATCTGTGGAAGCATGAGAGGGTCAATACTTACGTTCATGTAAACCATTTGGAGTCTAGCATTTTTTTGCCTGAAATTTGATCGGAAAATCAGGACAATTGTGCGATGTTTCTTTGGGCATATTGAGTGTGTGTATAAAGTAGGCATATACAGTAACTACATTTATGTGTATGGCTGTGTCCATATGCACATGGAAGTGTGTATGCATACAGAGTGCACACAAGCATAGATTGCCCAAAGGTCTGCAAGACAATAGGGACAGAGAAACATTTTTAAGTACATACAATTTAACAAGAAAATGAAGATTAATGAGCTCCATAGAAAAGGCAAGTGAGTGGCTCAAGACTCCCTCTGACATACGGTCCTTCTTCTGAGTGTGTAGTTGTAGGTGTGCTCTGTGATGATAGGCACTGAGGGGAAATTTAATTCGCAAAGAGCAAAGCCATTGTGAGAAGTTATACTGGTGGCTGTTGGAATCAGGGATTGTTGACATCCTTCCGAGCCGACACAGAGGCAAGTATGTCTCTTCCCTTCTAGAAAACATTATCTGTTTCAGTCTGTTATTGCTCCTTGATTGGAAACAAAGAACTGCCTCCGAATATATTCAGACTAGGTATTTGAGTAAGTCATCATCTGGCCCACATTTCAAAGCGAAGAGACAGAAACCAAAGCAAGTAAAACCCATTGAATGGTCTATGATATTAGACAGTCAACACAACATGAAGAGCTTTTTCCTTCACTGAATGACATCAAAAATATTGTGTAGCAAGATAAAGGTGGTAGTATCTAGGAAAGATGAAATAATGAATTAGTATTTAAATACTGATTTATTAATAGTTTTTAGCTACTTGAAAGACAGGGTTGGGGTAGGCCAGACCTAGCCACGGACTGCATCCAGGTCTCCTGTGAGTGCACTTGAGCTATCATCTGTTGACTCCAAGGATGTTAACAGGAAGCTGGATTGGAAAAGGAGTAACAGGAGTTCCTAGGATGGTAGATGTACCAAGAATCCCAAGAAGTGATTTAGCCAGCTACACCACAGAACCCAACCCTGAATTAGCATGTTTAAACGATGACATGTCAGTTTATACATTATTTTACTTAGAAAGAATATAATCTTTATTATCCTGAGGACATTCTAATTTTTGTCTCTATTTACTTACTTACTTGTTTTGAGAAGCACAGACACAGAAAGAAAGAGAGAATTCCCGTTTACTGATTGATTCTTAATTGTCCGTATTAGCCCTTGCTGGGAACTGAAGCCAGGATTCAAGAATTGAATTCAGGTCTCCCACATGGGTTGCAAGAATCCATATACTTGGTTCATTACCAGTGCCTCTCCAGATCAGCATTAGTGGGACCAAAGTAGTACGCCAGACTGGTTATTGAGTATTGACATAGCTAGCTCTGATGACATAGCTAGCTCTGATGACATAGCTAGCTTCTTAACCATAGGGCCAAATGCCCATCCTCTGAGAATTCTTTCTTTTTTTTTTTTTGGTTATTTTATTGTCCCTTTATTTGAAAAACAGAGAGAGAACTCTACTTTTTTACTCCCCAAATGTCCACAAATGTTATAGCTGCTGCAGGCCAAAGCCAGAAGCCCAGAATTGTATCCTAACGCCCGTGTGGGTGGAAGGAAGCTATGTACCTGAACCACCTGCTGAATCTCAGGGTGTGCATTAGCAGGAAGTTATATCAAGGTGAAGTTGGGACTGGAACCAAGTATTCTAAATTAAGCTATCCAAAGTGATCATTTAACTGTAAGCCAGATCGTTTAACTGCTAAGCCTTCTATCCCATGCCAGGACAATTGAAATTATTGTCTAATGAAAGCCTTCTTTACACCTGTGCATATGCTGCAGCGTTCATCTTATACTTATTTTCAGAGAAAAAAAAGTGTAAACAGTTTCATTTAAAAAGTTCATAATCATAATAGAGAAATGAAACGATTGATGTTTATTATAATCAGTTATAATCAGGCAAAATAGAAAGTACTTCTACTTGAGAAGTTTTGGTGAAAGGGTTGGCACCCCTTCTGGAAATTCCCTGTGCTTTTCCATGCCAGGAGGCTGTATAGGCTCTGCCTCCCACAGAGAACCTGGTCTTAATTAGTCAAGTCAAAGACCCAAGACAGCAAACTGGCCCCAAGGACATTCCATGTGAGAGGTCAGGGCTGCAGACTCAACAAGTATGCCTTACCTTGCTGACCTCTGCTTGAAGTACTTCCAGTCTCGGACAATTGAGATATCTTCTGGAGTTTTTCAATGTCCTGAGTCCATGTTTTAATATTTTTCTTTGTATTGCCACCATAATTGTATGTATCTGAAGTCCTATCTTTTAGCCTATGTGAAATTCTTGTATTTCTAGGTCAAGATTACAAAAATTCACTTTTCTAAACCAAAAACAGTATATGTTCTTGAAAATGAAAACTTGTCAAGTCTGCCCAGTTATCCACAGTGAGATAGCTGCTTGCTGCTTTAAAACTAAACTTCAGGAGAAAAAGGCATGACTCCAAATGGCTGAGAATCTCAGATAGAATGCTTTTGTCCAAATGGTTGTATGTGTAGTCATGGTTTGGTGATGGTGAAGGCTTATAATTCTATTTTGAACCATAGGTGGTTGGTTCCTCTAGTACCCAGAATGCATGCTTTTCTTTGGATGTAGCAGTAATTGCATGTGCAGAAAAATTAAGCGTTGTTTTGTTACTGTAAATAGATCTGAGCTGATTTTAAAAAATGCTACTGCTAGGTGAATTTCTGTGCTTTCATTTGACTTTCAACATATATTATTTGAAAAATATTAAGAATAAATATCGAGTTTACACACAGAAATTTCTATGAGAATAATTTTTCTCTCCTATAGAAACATAAAATGTAAACTCTATATGTAATTTAAAATTTTCTCAAATCCACATTATGAGCTGGATTATATTAATTTTAATAAATTTTAGTTAAGCCAATATGTCTATAATAGCATTGTCTTAACACCTAATCAATATAAAATATATTGATGCAGTGTCTGCATTTTTCATTTCGTTTGAGACTTTGAATTCATGGGGCTAATACATTTCAAGTACCCAGTCGCCACAGTGGCAAGAAGATTCCATGTTGGGCAGCAGAAATTTATATAGTTACAATTATTCCTGAGAATGCTTCATTTTCTAAATAAATGGCATTTCCATATTTCACAAGGAAAGATGTTTCCATGTGTATATGAATGCATACTCCATACAAAAATATTCCAGAATATGTCATCAACTCAGACTTATATAAATGCTTTTGTTTTGTCAGTTGCCACAGCACAATAGACTCTTGGATTTGTTTATTATCATATTCAATGGGGTCTTTTTAGCTCCTTTACTTCCCAACCACTCTTTCTATGATATTACACACTCATACACTACACTAGTTTAACTTCGGAGCACTACAAACCATTGAAATATCTAGGATTTCCTGCTCTACAGGGCTCCATTTTTGTTCCCTGAGAGATGGTATCTACATGTTTTAAAGTGCTAGTGTATATTCAACTCCATAGCATTGAAATCCATCAAGTCAGGTCTACTGGTTTAAGTTATTATTTATGCAAGACCCGGAAGAAACTTATCATCTCCATGGTTTGCTCTATATTATATGATCCAACTTCACATTATGCTTCACAGAGGAAGGGGTTTCCTTCCGCTCCTACGTGGCCTTGTCTTAGGAAGTGTATCTTCTTATTTTATTCTGAGACATTGACCTTTATGAATGTCATACTGATGAAAACTTGCTTCCCATCTGCCGAGTAGAATTTCTGTGTCTCTGTGCCTTCCCAGATGCTGAGGTTGATGATTATACACATTCCAAAATAAATAGAAAACTGCCTAGGGAATTCCAATATTTACTTTTCTATTCATTAAAATACAGTTCAGATCTATTTCTCTGTCATTTTTATGCCGTACTGATGCTGCAAGTCTTCAGATGCCATCATCCCTGACCGTGGGTGGAGAGCGTGTGCTGCTGCGTCACTGAGATGATGGTTATGATTTCTCTCCATTCCTCCCTCTTCCCCTCTCTCTCCCATCCCGCCACACAGCACAACATGCCCTTTTGGAGGATATCAAGTCATTCAGACCTCTTGGCTCTGCATCAAGCACTGGAACTAGAGTATTTGTAACTGTGTTCTCTAACTGGAGACCCCCTTTTTATATTTCAAGTACACTGAATTTTTATGTGTGATTCAGTGCCTCTGGCTCTACACATATAAAATGTCTTAAAAGGATGATATCATATGTGGGATGAAAATTCCAGAATGAAGAATTCAGAGTGCTGAATGGAATTAAACTGTAGTGCTACAGAAAGGAAACAATGGTCTTATATTTACAACACTTTAATTAAAAAAAAAAAAGTTGTGGTGGTTGCTGGGACAAATTGAGTCCTAACTGGAATTGACAGCTTTAGCAAAGAACTCTACCGCTGAAGAGCAGCAGCTTCCACACTGCGTCGGACAAGGTGATCAGCAACATTCCTCACCATGGGAGATCTTCTCAGCCCTGAGGTTTGAATCTGACTTTAGCCTACCTAGCCCAGAAAATCTGAATTGGGATGCACTCAGACTGTATAAAGGACTGTCCTATCCAGACCTGTAATTTGTGTAAATTATTGATGGAAATAATTTACTGTGACTTTATTAACAGCTGACTTTGAAAGTGGATGCAATTTTTCTTTCATTTGTTAGGGAGGGCACTGGGATGGGGAATGGGGATATGTCTCTTTTTTAAGTTGGGCAAACAGAATGTTCATCCTGATATGTTGTGCCTTAAAGACAAGACAATGTTTGTGTGTTACAATGTAACTTTGGTTAAAAATCTCTGTAGGTGACAACCCAAAACCTTTGTGATCATTTAATCATGACCAAATTTAAGACTCAAGCTATCAACATCTAATAATAGCATCAGCAAGAAACTGAACATTTGTTCCAATAAGAAAACAACAATAATAAAGCCGTGTTTTATTTGGGTTCTTAATAATTCCAGTAATTGTATGAGGCATCAATTTGTGCATCCAATCATAAGCGTAAGGTTTGGGGAAGACTGTGGGACCTTCACATCGAAAGGGAAGTGTATGTTGAAGTCTCTAGTGTCCCTTTCTGAAGTTTTACTGGAAAGCTAAGAGCCATGTTCACAACAACTTGCACTGTTTGAAATTTGAGACTTTTTGACATATTTAGGTTTGCGTAGAGGAAATTTATCATACTGATTATCATACTGATCATAAGCAATTGTCATCCACAATTTTAGAATATTTCATGAGCATGGCTTGAAATAAGGCTAAGTGTGTTTTCCCAGTGCCGTCACAAAAAAAAAAAAAAAATGCCATCAGCAGTAGAAGGTGGATGCCCCAATTCGCTTGTAAGACAAGAGTACATAAAAACTTTACCTTCACGATCATCATAAATTCAATTATCAAGTGAGTGGACTCTTGACATGACAGCAGTAAAACAGTTTCTGGCACTTCATTATAACACATTTATCCAGACCATCTCCATTTCAAACTTGTAGATGCTCACTTTTGCCTGTACTGTAATTCCACAATGGACTGCATTCATGGTAAGGAGAACCTGTCATCTTGTGCTTGCATGTTATTTTTTTCCCTTGGTGTGTAGCCCATGTTGGGAACATGATACAGGTTCTTCTGTCATTTTCTATGATGTGACTTCCCTTATAGGAATTTCATACTTCAAGATCTAGAAGTTTCAGTGATGTCTGCACCTGCAGTCTTTGTTTAAAATGTCATCACTGTGGATCATGGAGCACTGCTACCAGTCAGTGCCCCCAAGGAGGGTATGCTGCGGGATGATTCATCAGTTGATGCTCCGGAGAGAGCTGTGCTTTGTTCAAAACCCCAATGTTCACTTTGGAAATATGAGTTTATTTTATCAGCTGTAAACCTGTATTTCTTGACTGAATCCTAAGCCCATGCTTACTTTGGACAGAAAGATATTAAGATCTTAATTTTGCATCCGATCACACTTGCTCTTTAAGTATGGTAGCTTCTGACTACCTCTGCCCCAAATACTATTGCAGGCAAATTAAGAGTGGAATACTTCTGACAGCAACAACAAATGATCTACTTCTGCTGGCCCCCAACTTGAACGTAGCAATTTAAAGCATTAACTAATTACTTATCAGTACTTAATTGTATTTTCATGAAATCCTTCAATACTCTGTTCTGTGAAAACACAAAATTTATTTTATTGCTAGTTTCAGTCAACAATAAACCTGTGGCATGACATCTAAATTTTCAATTCTTTTTCTTATCAGATAAGCAAAGCCTATGCTGCTAATCCTGTAGGTGCAGCAACTTTCCTCAAAGAACAGAGAGTTGGCTGATGGTTCCACTCAAAGTGTGCTCTCTCTCACACACACACACAACTGCTTTCATTTCTGGGTATGTATTTAGAAGAGATTGTCAACATAAAAGCTATATGCGAGCTTCAAGAGAAGCTTATCTGGCAGAACAGTGGTGCAGAATCACAGGCCAACATTACCACCGGGTCCCATGACCCCGAGCATGCTCAGATAGAACCCTTTCTTTCCCAGCTTTGGAACAGAACATCCTCTCCCCTTCCATTCTGAAAAACAAAAAAATAAACCAACAAACAAAATACCTTCCCTCTTGGCAATTTCCATACCCTATATACACATAGAATATTGTGCCTTATTATAAAGTAGTTTGAAAAATGTTCTGTAACTAAAATGAGTTTTTGACTACTATATCTGCAACCTGGGAAAAATAACTACCTAGTATTGCACCTTGAAAATATCCAGATCAGGTAATTTAGCAATAAAGTAGTTGGCCTGGCTACATGATTATGATTATGACACCATGAAATCCTGTGTAAGTCAAATTCAGAGGCAAAAGGTATTTTAAGATCATAAAGTTTGTGCACCAAAAGTACATAATAATTCTCTCTGAAAGTGTTTTTCTCTTAGTTCTTATGAACTAAGATTCGAAGTAGTGTGGACAGCATGCACGCGTATGAAGTTGTTTCTCTGAAGCACATGTGTTTTCAACAACCCTATGTTCTCAGTGAATGTGGCATTAGGTACTTCTTTGGGAAACAGTCGTAAGCATCATGAACCAAAGTTGCATTCTGACTTCCAACTGAAGCAGCATTGTGGAACTCTCACAACGTCAAGGGTTTCTAATATGTATTAGGGAAGTATAGATTATTGGGGCCTACATAATTTAAAAATGTAAATTAATATTAAAAGCTTGTAAAAATATGTACATCTTTACTATTTCTCAATAAATACCTTTGCAAACGGTTTCATTTTCTTCAACCTCCCACGTCATATCGTTTCTATGTGTGTTTGATTGGATTCTGTGATGTTTTGTATTTAGGTTTTGTGTACTTAAATGTTCTGATTGGTGGAGACGATAAAGTCAGATAGAATGGACCGAAATGTCAATTATGAAGGTCAAAACTCTTCAGGTGTGAGTTTCACAGGTTAGGTAGATACATTCAAATATAATATGGTTGAAGCCACAGTTCATTTGTGGTAAAATTATGTGTGTTGAATTATGTAAAACAAGTTCTCTCTAGATGAATATTGGACTTAGTTGAGAAGATTCTCCAAAAAGGATAGGGAGTAATTCTCTGAGATGGGCTTAGTAGCTATTAGCTGGTATATAATATTGACTTACTTGCAAATGTAGTGTTCATTCTTATACAAACCCACAAGTAAATTTCAGACCAACTTCTGCTCAGTCACAACTTTTACAAATGTTAATCTGAAAGTTAATGAGCTTTAAGTTGAAAGATGTGAGAATTTGGGTTAGCCCTGACATCACAAAAGATCAATCACGTCTTACAGGTATTTGATGGATATTTTTTAAAACAATTGAATGTACACACTTCCCTTTATTCTCTTGTAAATCTTAGTGTCAGCTAAATCTGAATTTGTGAGAAAGGCAAACTTGTGGGTATTATGCCCCATATTCTATATTGTTATTTAGCATACTTTCTGGAGTGAGAGGGTACCTCAAATCAAAATGTCCAGGTCTGTGCCTGTGCATCCCCTGCTTATCACCTTTCCCATAACCACCTTCCAATTTCCATTTAGAATTCCTTCCCACCTAGACAGCAGCAATAGTCTCTAGCAAGGTTTCCCTGATTTCATTCTTAGACCCCTTCAATACATTATGTCCCAGGATCCAGAAAGATGTTGTAAAAACATTGCCCTCTTTTTAGGCACTTCCAGCAACTGGCTTGCTGAACGCAACACCAGTGTGCTTAATGATGACCTGGAAGGCTTACGGAACCGTCTGAGAATCACATTTCCATGTTTTTCTGCCCTGGACAAGTTTTTTTTTTTTTCTCTATCAGATTAGCTACATGATGTTGTTTGCATTTGCCTGGTGTCACCCACTGTAGGGTCTTTGCATTCAGAGTTCACTCTATTTCGAAAAATTTTTCGCTCAGACGTCTGCACCTTCTTTGTCCAGGGACTTCAAGTCTACTCCAAAGACCACCTTCTCACTGATAAAGCCCTCCTCTCTAAAATTACTTATGCTTCTCCAACACTTTCCAGTTCTCCACTTTTTCTATAAAATGATAGTTCATGTTTAGGTTTATCCAGCAATGTATACTTTTTATTTATCTTTTGGATTATATAATGTATGTTTTACAATATATGATCCGTGTTTTGTTTTATTCATTTCTACTTAAGCAATACCTAGCAAAGTGTCTGCTGTGTAGTTTTCAGAAAAGTACTTGTTGATTACGCACCTAAACCATAGGAAGACATTAGTGATCATGTCCAGAATTGGAGACTTCAGATGAGACAAAAAGAAGAAAACATGCAGGTAAGTTTTGAAGAGCAGGGTATGTTTTTTCAGCTTACTAGAATCTTTACTGGCTTTGTGGTTCGTGAAATAAAGAGCAATAAGGGCTGTAAGCGAAGATGCTCTTGAGAAAAGGTTATAGCGATCTGCACACGCTCCCTGGACAATCACAAGATTACAATGTGTCGGTGACTGCTGCCATGCCCCTTTTTCTGTTTTTGTTAAAAATAAAATGATGCAACATCTATATCATTAGTTGAGTCATTTTTTTTCAAAGCCATATAGCATCTTGTAAAAAATAAGATTTTTTTCCCTCATAGACTTGAGTCACTGAAACAGAGGGACTAGGACTAACCAAAACTAATATCCAAGAATTCAGTTCCAGTCTCCCCCATCAGTGGCAGAGATCTAAATCCTTGAGCCACCTGTCACTTGTTGCTTCCCAGGGTGTGCATTAGCAGGAAACTGGCAACGGAAGCAAAGTTGAGTCTTGAATGTATGGGATGCACATGTCCCAAGTGGAGTCATAAGGGTTGTGCTAATCATCTGCTCCTGAGTCCCAACTCTCAATGAGAATGGCAGGCATTACTAATTGGCTCTTCCCTGATCCAGAGAACCTTCCAGAACTGTGTTCACACACAATTTGAAAAATCTGTGTGTATAACATGTCAAGAAATGTCTAAAAACAAAATGATAATATTGTATGAGCCAAATGATTGTTTTCCCTCCCCAGTATGTTTTGATTGCCTTGCAAGGGTGCTGCATCTATGGCTGAAGGGCACTTTATTGTCCTTTGTAGTTGTGAAATCTTAGATTTGAGGAGACAGATGTCTGCTATCATGTATAAGTTCAGTTCTTAAATGACATTTCAGTGATATAAAATCGATAGAGTTATAGGAGTGTGTGTGTGTGTGTGTGTGTGTGTGTGTGTGTCTGTGTGTCTGTGTGTGCGCATGCTGTGAGAGGAAGGAACCACCAAATAAATTAGTCCCCAGACCCTATGGAATTGTACCATAACTTCTTTTCA